GTCTCAAACTTTTTTAGGATGAGAAGATCTAACAGATTTCTCATTGACACGACTTCACAATCTAAGACTTGAATGTCTGGAGGATTGGAACAATTCATCTTATTCAACTTGGATAAACTTGGATGGCCCAACCGATCAAGCAAAAGTTTTGGGGATGAAGTGGTAAAACAGGAAACTGAAGAGCTACGTTTAAGAAAATAAAGTCCTCGAGACTCGTGTCTTTCTCCAATCAGGCGACCCATACCATGTCCTGTATAACAAAAGGAATAGCAGTAAAGGTTACAGAACAATTTAAGGAACAAGTCAATTGGCTCAAGGAGATTAAATTGTAAGGACAATAGGAATATACAAAACAGAATTTAAATTTAGTGAAAGAGATAAGGAGACTCTACCAATTCCCTGAGATGCAACTTTGGATCCATTGGCAATAGTAATGAAATGAGGGATTTTCTGAGAGGACATGGAAGAAAATGAAGAAAGAATAGTACCAGAGTTATGGGACAGAGGGCACCTGAGTCAAGGATCCATGGATTGTGACCTTCCACAGATTGAGATATACCGGCAGTTGACACATTGGGCATGGAAGAGGATTGGTCAGGATTAGAAGATTTTCCAGACTTATACTTCAAAAATTCTGATATTCCTCATTTGATGAAATTTTGGGTCATCAGATTTCAAAGCATGAACGACCTTGTCTGGATATCCATGTAAGGCATAACATTTCTCTCAAGTATGGCCTATCTTCTTGCAATATGTGCATTGAGGAGGCATACCACGGCCACCACGTCCTCCTCGGTTGCCTCTGCCTCCTCCTCTTCCTTGTGGTGCTACCATAGCTGATGTTTCATACACAATTGAACTTTGGTCTTTAAACTAATGAAGGTACCGAAAGAAGTCGAGTAAAAACTAAGCGGGTCCATTGATGGAACGTGATCACCCGCTAGCATTTGACACGAACATGACCAAAATCGACGTAGACCTCTTAAACTTACAAGACCAGTAAAAATTACAAGTTTCTTGTTTAGGCCTTCTAAAGAATCAGCCACAGGAAATTCTTCAACTCTTCTACAGCAGCACGGGCCGTTCCTATGTAAGTAACCATATCATGATTGTTTTGTTTGAGGGAGGAAAGTCACTCTTTGAGTTGCATCAAAAGAGCGTTGGCACATCATTAGCAAAGAATCCTGAGGCTTTTCTCCAAAAGGAAGGAGCACGTTTTGTAGTCTCAAAATTTCTAAGACTTCTTGTTCAACAGATTGCCATAGGACTGCACATAGTTGAAAATCAAGCCGCTGCCACTGAGATTTCTCTTCTTCAGAAACGATGGAAACACTTATTCAAGGTGATCGTGGTATCCTTGACCAAGAAACCATAACTCCACGGAAGAAGACCAAGATAGATAGTTTTTCCAATTGAGTTTTGCAAAAGTAATGGTTGGAGTAGTAGAGAGAGACAGTGTTCCAAGACCAGCCATTATAAAGCCAAACAAGAAAAGAGGGAAAACAAATTGTGGGAAGAAACCCTAAACGAAGCAACCCTCAATGGAACAGCAAATCAGAGACTAGTGGCACGGTGAAGATCCGACACCGGAGAGGCGGCGAGTGAAGCCCACGCGCCCGAGAGCGGTGACAGAGAAACGGTGCGTGACGGCGCGTCGAGAGCAGGATGAGGCGGCGACCACCAGGGATGGGTCGCGCTTGACGAGGCGCACCGAACCCTTAACTTCGCCAGAGAAAAGGCTGCAACGGACGGCGACGGCGACGGAAGCGACAGCGGATGACGGCGGGCAGTGAAGTGGCTAAATGGAAAACCCTAAACCTGCTCTAGATTACCATGTTAAATGTGAGAAGAGAAAGAAAAATAATAGTGGATTGTTTTCAAGCCATAGAGGGAAACGACGTAATTTACACACTTAACCCAGAGTTTCCATAGAGGGGGCCTCATGACTAGTTAGAAGTTAAATCTCTGAGATGATTCAAAAAATTCGGGATGTAGGGCACGAAGGGATCAAACACCATGTAAATGTTGTTTATGTTTCATTTTTGATATCCCCACTTAATGGGTTCCATTCTTCCAAAAAAACATCTGAGTTCTGTCGGACAGGCAGATTGGGCCTTCAGCCATGAAGGACATACATATATGGTTCTTGCCATTTTAAGAGATGAATTTGCAAGGCTTGTGTTCGTTAGTTGTCATAATAGACGTTTGATCTATCGTGGCCATTAAATTGCTTTGGGCTTTCTTCTAAAACGGAGGAGTGACAAAGTTTTGAAAAGCCTCAAGAAGATACAAGAAAGTTTGGTTCCACTATGATGCCATAACAGGGGCAACACAACGTGGAAATCTGCTTGTTTCCCACTGATCAAACTTTTTCAGGTAGGCACATGGCTTCCATCTCGCTAAGGTGGTCATAATGCCCTTGGCCAAAGGAACCACATTTTCAAACCGGCAGAGCAGGGACCAGATAGATAATTTTTTCCATTTAGCTTCTCGGAGGGTAATTAATGGGACTTCAGGAGGAAAGAAAGAAAGAGTAACTGCCAGCGCCATTTCTGAAGGAAGACCAAAATAGGTACCAGCGAGAGGAGGAAACAAGAAACCCTAAGGGGTTTTACGAAAAAAAGAGAACGAAACGAAAACTGTCGACAGCGATGGAACGACGGTGGCCGACGACGGCAAAACGGTGGCCAGACGGTGGCCGGCAAACGACGTAAGGTTGGGTAGGGCGACGGGCAAACAGCGGACGGTGGCGGGCGACACGAAAATGTGGGTCGGACAGATATTACGAGACAGAAACCATAGCGGGATCAACCCGCTCTGATACCAACTTGAGAATTAAACTGTAAAATAATTCTAGAGGACTTGATTGATCCCTCTCACAATCTTCTATTTATAAGAATAAATTGATACAAAAGTACATGATAAATAGGGTAACCCTAGACACAATATAATCATGATAAATAGGGTAACCCTTGACACAATATAATCATGATAAATAGGGTAACCTTTGACACAATATAATCATGATAAATAGGGTAATCCTAGACACAATATAATCATGATAAATAGGGCAACCCTTAACACAATATAATGATGATAAAATAAGATAAATATCCTAACAAACATGTTGGCAGTAAAGAATACGTTAGGACACAACTTCCTATTATTAAGATCAATAAAAGAAGAGACAAATGCAAAAGGAAAATATAGCAGTAAAATTTGTTAGTAGTTGTTTGTTGTTGTGTTGGGAAGCTTGTATATATATAGGTGTGTTCTCAGGTTTTGGAAGTCGAAAAAAACTTAGCCGAAGATTCCTGGACCCTAGAAGTGCCAGTGGTGTGTCTATAAAAGAATTTCTAAAACTTCCATACACAATTCCCAATTTCTGAAATTTCTATATAAGGTGGAGCACATCTTCAGTTCCCTTTGCTGAGACCCCTCCGGCTAGAGGACGCAGACCCCTCCATCACTCAGAGCCTCCTCTACACAAACACGACTGTGAAGGGAAGTGTTATCACTGTCAAACCATCCACAAATATCTAGTCTCATACTCAATATGCTCAGTCCTGGATGTTAGGGTGTGTTAGAAATCCAACATTGACTAGAAATAAGGTCAAATGACAGTATATACGTGGGATGTTGAACCTCGTGAGTTTCTACTAAACATAGTCATAAGTGAAGAGCTCTCCTATATTGCACATAATAACATACATTGCTTATGCATTTACATGTCATTTTATGCATGATCCAAGACTAAGACACATGCAAGCAGCTGATAACATTCTTCTCTACTTGAATTCAAGCCTAGGAAAGGGGTTATTCTTCAAGAAAGAAGATATTTGACCTTGAAGATATATACTAATGCAAATATATACTATACACTACATCCCTTCCCCTGGGCTCTATAGTCACAATTGGAAATCAATATCTTTTGTAATTAAAAGGTAATTTGTTAAAATGGTGAGTGATAATGTAGGATATAATCAACCATACCTTGTTTCATCTCCATTCTCTAAATTTCCATCTTCTTGTGCACGTAACTTAGAGCGCATAAATTCATAGACCTCATTTGTCCAGCCACAGGATATCAAATGTGACTTCGCCTCTTTCACAAGACTGAGTAATGTTTTGAAAACATGGTATCAGAATAAGGCGTGTAATGAATATTTTTTTAAAAACAGTATGACTCCCACATAATAAATATTTCAGAATGGAAAGCTGTATAACTGATTGTTACAGGAAACAGGTATATAAATGTTAACTGATTGTCACAAGAAATAGGCATATAAAAAGTTAACTGGTAAGTCGAGTTTGGGTGTGAACAATCACAAGAATGAAGATTTCAGTACAATATATATCAAAAGACGACTAATATTCTGAAATTTTTTAACAGAACAACATATTTTTAGCATGTCAGACATTGAAGGTTTGGAAGAGACATAAACTATGCAATGAAAAAAGAAATTGAAGAACATCCATTAACATTATTAATTGTATAATATTTCCTACAAATTGGAATGCTATAAGACTTGGGGGAGACCTGGAAACTATAAATTGCCCTGACATCATTTTTGTTATTCTTGTTTTGCTAATTGTATTCCCAGCTCTGAATCTCATTGATTCTAGCTGAAACATGTTATTAATACAATTACAGTAGCTTGTTCTATCATATTTTCCTGGTTCTTATCGGTGTGATTCAAAATTTTGTATTCCCTTTCCCACCAACTACATTATTAATATTGAAACAAAGCCTCGGTAAAAGTAAGTTGTCATAAAAAATGACAAGCATTAACCAATTTTAACAGTATAAACCCAACTACAAAAGTTTGAATCCAGGCTATGAAACACTGACAAAAAAAAAGTATAAGATGCAATATTTCTGCATATATCAGAAACATAAAGCACGTCGAGGAACCATTTATAAATCATTGAACTATAATTTTAGAAAAAGGAATTTACTGTCTTACTTGTCTTTCAGTTTTTGAACTTTTGCTTGAGACTGACCATCATGGGAAAGTAAAATGAATGGGTCCTCATGTACCTTTCTCTTACTCCCCAATATTTTGGGTTTATTGCTGAGGCCATTGTTTTCAAGCTTAAAGTTGTCAGAACCTTTACCTGCTATTACCCTGCTTTTATCAGTATCTTCCCTGGGATCCGACTTTACAGAATGGATATCAACCATCTGATTATCACTGTGGCCATTTGTAAATGTTGACTCCTTTCTTTTGAATTTGTCAACATCAACTTTATTTTTGTCAATACCATTCCTGGCAGGTAATGATGAAGGATCTTTCTTACCATTTTCCAAAGACTCTGAATCTTTGACATGTCCATTTATTAATAAAGGCTGATTCCTAGAAACATCAACTTTCCCATTCACACTTAGAGGAGCAGGACTTCTTTTGGAAGTAGAACCTCCATTAATGTCAAACTTAACTCGTGAGCTGGAAGGTACTTTAGCAGTCTTAGCTACACTTGGCATATCCTTCCAAGGAGATAGCTCAGAACTTGACTTTGCATGCACATCTTTCAGTGGTATACCAACCTTTGAAAATTCAGATGCTTGGCTCCCATTGAAATAAGGCTTTATACCGTTTGAAGCAAGAGAATTACTACTTGACACTGGCCTTTGATTAGTTCGAGAGAAAAAAAGAATATAAACCTTTTCTGACAAAACTTCTTGCAGGGTTGCAACTGATACACTAGAATCGTCACAGCAATACCACCGACCCATTGCATCCTATGAACAGAAACGGAAATGAGATTGGCATAAAATTGACGTATTGAGCTACATAATGTGTACAGATAAACAAAAAGTTAACAAACCTTTATATAAGCATAGTAATGACCAGATTCGGGGGAGTAGCCTGAATGCACAATAGTGCCAAAGAGCTTATATTCTGGCTGTGGATCCTACGTAAGGATGACGCCGTTAGATAAGAACTAAAACTAATATTAAAACTGAGTGTGAGTGAAGGCAATATTAGCAATGATACACCAGTCATTCTTAAAGATGTCAACATGGGTTGGAAAAATGTTGAACCTTTATTGGCCCTTACGAAGCAATTTATGTCTTTTTACTGTAAGTGGCAGAATAATAATTAGTAATTTTCCCTCTTAGATGTTTCACTATTTACTTCAAAGTCCTAAATTAGCCACACCTTTTGCAATTAAATATTACAACAATGTATGTATGAGTTTTATATTCAAGGGATAATGGACTTTTCACGTCCCATACTGTCAGAAAACAAGGCAAAGTTTTTATCTCTCACAAACAAGACCTTTTGTGTACCATATCTTCCATATGAAAGATAACTAAATAAACACAATTTGGTGGAAAGAGAGAGACATTGAGTTTATTACTTTGTTTATATTGACAAAATGAAATCAATAAAAAAAAAGAAATTTGATATTGTCTAATAATAAAGATATGATAGGGAACAAATAAAGATATTCCTACTAATACATATACAATCTAGATATTCTTCATTATACAGAATTTGCTCCTTAATAGTATAACACTCCTCCTTAAGTTGGATCATATAATATATTAATACGTATGTGTTGCTACAAATATGAACAATCCTTGGCCCTCGTAGACAATAGATGAATATCTCAGCCTATTGCTACAAATATGAATGTCCCTGAAGTTCACAAATCTAGGGGTGACGTCTCCCAACTCCAATTTGTCAATTATGAATTAACATTCTATCTTACTATGTTTGGTACTTTCATGGAAGACAAGATTACAGCAATATTTTGTTTCTTACTTTTCCACAATATTAAACTATCTCCAAAAGGAACATAGTACACTGAAGTGCAGCATTTGTCGCTTGGTAACCTTACCTAGTTAGCATCGAAATACCCAACAATTTGAACATAGTACACTGAAGTGCAGCATTTGTTGCTTGGTAACCTTACCTAGTTAGCATCGAAATACCCAACAATTTGAGCATTTTCCTTGTCTTCATAAAGGATGCCTTTGCCTAGAGAATTCATAATATACTTCATAACTAATAGGACTACATCCCAATGATTGTGACAAGGAGAATTTAAAAATTGACTTAGTACATTCACGGCAAAGGTGATGTTAGGATGAGTCACAATGAGGTAACTTAGCTTAATAACTAACCTTTTGTGTCTCTTGGGACTAAAATATGGTTCTCCTTGATAAGGTACTAGTTTTACACTTGGATTCATTGGTGTGTCCACAAGCTTAGTATTTAACATCCTTGCTTCTTCTGCAATGTTCAGTGCATATTTTCTTTGAGATATGGTCAAATCATCTTTGGACTAGGCAACTTCAATTCCAAGGAAATACCTCATGTGTCTAATACTCTCCTATCACTATGTGTGATAACAATGTCATCCAAATATACAATAGGATATACACATAGTTGGGGAGAATGACAATAAAATAAAGAACAATCAACATCACATTGTATCATTACATACTGTTGGATGATAGTTCAAACTCAAACCATGCACAGAGTGATTTCTGGAGGCCACATAGGGACTTGAGTAGACAACATACCATCCCAGACGACTACCCATGAGCAAAATCCAGGAGATTGCTCCGTTTAAACTTCCTTGACAAGATTACCATATGGTTCTTGATGTCATGCTAAAAGACTCTAATAATGAATAATGAATAGTTTCATTGGAAAAGAAGTCAAATAGACATGATTTTAGCAATAAAAGAATGTGTCACTATAAACTTGAACATAGATTTATGTGTACCCTATGACAACCAAGCAAGATCTAGTGTGAACAATTTTACCATGTAGTCTTGTTTTAAGAGAATATAACCACTAACACTCAACAATTCACGTTAGTCAGAAGAGGAACCAACTCCAAAGTACCACTACTTTGAAAAGCACACATCTTATCAATCATTGTTTGTCACCACTCTAGCTAACAAAGTTTTTCCTAAAGACTTAGGAATATGGACAAAAGATAATGAGGACAAACAAGTATAATGCATGGTCTAAAGACAAAGACAATTGAGGCTAGTACAATTGAGAGATAGGTTATGGGTAGAACATGCACCTTTTCAAATAGCAATATGCCAATCACTTTTAGAGGAGACCCGATTTGGTACCAGAGATAGTGATGGGGAAGGCATGGCCTCCACTAATGATGGAAACTCCTAGTCAAGGCTCCTATCACATGGAGCATGACCAAGCTTTTGCAAGAGGAGCCAACATTAGAAGGTGAAGCAAAGCTCTTCTTCCCTTGGGCCATCATGGAGATTGAAGAGTGGTGTAGGTTACTTTAGGCCATGTATTTCGGCCAAGTAGTGTAGGGTTGTTTAAGGCTTGTATTAAGGCCTAATTAGTGTAGGGTTTTTCCTTAGTTGGACACCCAAATCATGTGGAAAGTATGTGCCATGTGTCATACTTCCATTGGAGAAGATTTTTGCTTTAGTAGTGGTCACATGACACTCTAGGAATGGAGAGGATTTTGCCTTATGAGTGTCCTCATGTCCTTCCCTCATTGGAGAGGATTTGTGGACACTTGTCCACTCCTTAGAGGGCCTCCATTTTCGGCCAAAAGTTGCATGGTAGGGTTGGCATGAAAAGTTTTGGTTTTTAGGGCTTTTTAGGAGCCACCCTTAGCCTGTAAATATAGGTGTCTCCTTCCTTGTATTCATCTTTGATGATAAGTAATGTTATGCTGCCCATTTTTTACCATACTACTCTTCTTAAGATCAAGACTAGAGCAACCCAAGTGGCCCCTCTAGTCACCTTCCTCTTAGAGTTGGCCTAATCTCTCTTTGAGCCTTCAAACACTACACCACCACCACACCATCTCATAAGGCCGTGAGCTTCTCACCCTTTTCCACCCCTTGCTTCCGTGTTCATAGCCCTTAGCCCACCATTTTCCGCACCTACATCTTCTAAGGGACCATCCTCCATAGCATCTCTTCTAGCCTAGCTTGGGGAGGTTTCCATCAACTAATCAATATACATCAAAAATGGATCCCATACTAGATTCTGAACATGACATGATTAACATTGATATACATGAAGAGGTGTTGAAAGACACACTCCCACACATTGGTCGTCTTGGGCAATTTGTAGCGATTGAATCTTACACACCGCCCTCCACCTCCAACAACTTTGTCAACATTCTCTCGACACGTCCCTGCCACTGGTTCTCCATTTTTGACCTACTTGAGGCTGCTTTAGGGTTCCCCTTACAATTGCACATCTTCTAGACCCAACCCACAAAGTTGTGTGGTCTTATACTTGAGCACACTTTCCCACAAATTGGTCTTCTTCAACAATGTGTAGTGTGTGAATCTTACACACCACCCTCCATCTCCAACAACTTTGTTGACATCTTCTAGACACATTCCTGCCCTTGGCTCTCCATCTCAACCAACTTGAGGTTGCTTTAGAATTTCCCTTACCAATGTATGTCTTGAAAAAAAAAGTGTGTTCTCTTGAAATGGCCTTTGTAGGTCCCATTCTTCCTTTATCTAGTACTCTCAACTGACTTGGTATACTTTAGAGGTGTTGTGGTTCCTTGTCAAAGCATTCCATGAGTAATTGGAAAATGAAATCAGGGTTATTCCCACTGAAAATATATCTCAACGGCAAAGGCAAATATGTTTTGTTTCATCGCAATCAATTGAGCCTGATATCTTGAAAATACTAAACTGCTTCAAGACATCTTTTTGGGAAGAAGACCCAAGATTATTTTGCTTATGACATTCAATATCTCTTATATGCAACTCAAAGAGTACCCTCCATAAAACAACAGTAGCACCTTACAGAAGGAGGAGGTCATAACATCAAGGATGAAGTCGTTAAGTCTTTAAGAGGGCCTAGAATTCATTTTCTATGTTCCAAGCTTGTTGCTTAAAATTTATATACTACAACTTGGGGCGAGCATTAAATAATTGTTTATTATATTTTGTACAGCTTTTATAAGGCTTTCCCTTCAGATATATCTAGCTTAAGAGTAAGAGTCATAGGTTGTATCCTTTTCCTAGTCTTGCACTCATTCTCATTTTTTCATTATATATATATATATATATATATATTTATGTATGTATAATACATCAACAGAAGTATACCCAGTGATTTTTGGTATTCTCTAAATTAAGGGTGGTAACAATTGAGGTGGCTTTCCAAACCCACTCCCCCATTCACGCCCAGAGCTATAAGTCTAGAGCATGGCAACTACCAATGCAAATGACCCAACAATAGATCTATGATTGGCTATGATATACCATCTTAAAAATTAGGACAAAGACTCTAACTCTAAACCATAAAATAGGTTTGAATGTTGGGATTTCTCAAGCTCTATAACTTTTAATAAAACATATCTCAGCTACTGTGGCCATGACTGAGAAGACTAAACATACACCATTCAAAGTACAATTAAGACAGCCAAAGAAGTCATAACTAGAGTAGACCAAGGGTATTTTGCACCAAAAGCAGCTTTCCAACACTCTTTTCCTGTCCAATACCATGGACATTTTGGTTGAGTAAGAAAACAAATTTTGGGAGACTATTAGAATGGACTACACACTTTATATCATGTCCTAGAAAGCATGGAACAACATGGCAGGCTCACACAAGGGTATACAGTAAATCTTAAAAATTATAAATACAACACAACTATAAATACAATGTACTAAATTAGTACAAAATAAATAAAAACGAAAACTTAATCAAAAAGAAAAAAAAAATATTTTAGGTGAGCATGGGACATTGCAGACATGATAAAATGCTATTATTCACCTAATTATAGTTATATTTTCATCTGTACCAGTGAAGAAGTATAAAATATATTTCTGATTATTTTCCAAAGCAGATGCTGTTATGATAAAGACACGACTACTATTGAAGTGACTAGACTTTGTACATGATTAATGTGTGCTTTCACAGGAACAAACAGACGCGCCCTTTTGTAGTGTAAACTAGTTCAACACAAAAACCGAACATACCTGGCTTGCTTTGCACATGAAGCTAGAAAGAACCAAAACCTCTTCAAATGCAACAGCCTTGTCAATCTTGCCACCCAATATGCCCTCAAATCTCTACAATCCAAATTTCATCAACACACATCCTTCAAAAATCCCAGACCACCCCTAATCCTAACAACCAAAAACATTAAATATATACATATAACTAACCTTTAGTTGTATCACAAGGATGTTAGGTGCTTCAAGTATGGACATTTGCTTCTTAGCCGCCACCAATTTCTTACAACTGAACATCAATCATCCTCAGTTTCATCCTTTCAACAATTAAAACCCACAAACACACACAGAACACATAGGAAAAAGCTTACAGACAATTCGATAGTTGTTTTCCAATCAGAACTATAGTTCTATATCATGACCACATAAAGAAGGTTTGAATTAAAGAATTATGCATATTGTTGAAGTGAAACTGCAATTCTCATTGGAGAACAAAACATGCAAGCCCTAAGGCGCTATAACTTTTTGTCCAAACATATATTTAAAAATCAAACTAATACTCACGCACTTGTTCCCACTCGGTAACTTACCTATCACACTTGTACTTGTTGTTGCCATCTAAAACCTCAGGCTGAAAGAACTTTTGCATGCAGTCTTGAAGCGAGTTACTATGGAAAACATCAAGACTGATATCCATTATCTCATCAACCTTATTCGACTCATATCCACAGCACAGACACTTCACCTGACTCTGCAAGGCGCCACCGAAAATCTGCTTTACCACCGTACTCCCGCCACCGTCTCCGCCGCCTCCATTAGCGTCTCCGCCTTTGCGGTGGAGCTTCTTGAGGCGGAGGCAGGTATTGTGGCAGGCGTCGATTACGTACCGGAGGAACTCGTGCGCGTCTTCCTGGCGGCCACAGCGGAAGTGCTCAGCAAAGATCCGTATACAGCTCTGGATCTTGGAAGGCGCGTCGTGCGAGAGATCCAATTTTAGTGAACGCGCAATCTGCTTCTCCAGTATGCAGAACGGACACGTAGACGCAGAGAAATCACCTGAATTGAAATTCGAAACGGAACACGAAAATTAGGCCAAGGCGCAGAAATTAAACTAAAATTGAAAGAATAACGAGAATTGAAGAGCCGGTTACAGAGAGAAGAGTGTTGGAGAGTGAGACAGAAATTGGCGAGAGGAGGAGTGTATGTGAGGCACTGGAGGACGCTGTTGAGGTAGCACGAGTTGCCCAGGTTACGGAGCCCTATAGGAGGACCGGTTTTGCGTTTCTGACTCAGGAGACTCGGCTGCCAAGTCATCTGCAGGTCCATCAACGACGCCGTCCGCCGCCGCAACGAACCGCTGCATTGGCCGTCGATCGGGGACTCAACAACCCTGACCACCGCCGCCGCCACCGTAATCGCATATCTCTCGTCGCGGGGTTCGGTTGAGTTTTCGTTTCCCTCTCTTGGGTTGTTAGCTGTTTTATTTTTCGTTTTTCTTTAATTCTTCTAGCGACTTCTTTGGTACCGAGAAAATAATATTGCGGAAAAGAAATTATTGTTTGCGAGTGAATAGTGAGAACTAAGCCATGCTTGCTGGTTGTATTGTAGTGAGTGGCACACAAGAAATGAACGAATGGGAAATTCTTAAGTTTTTTTTTTAAGTTGCTTTAAGTTTGATTTTTCATATATTTAAAAATTATAATAAATACTTTAATATTATTTTTTAAATTTAATTAATTTATCACGGCGTTTGGAATTATTCTCTGTCCTTAAATATAAAATTCTAAAACTAATTAATTCACTTTTACTAAAAGAAATTGGTTAATTTAGTAGCGGTTTTGCAATAGTGGTAAATAATTTCTAAAATTGTCCTCGAATAATTCATGTATGAAGAAAAATCATAGTAGTAGTATTTTTTTAATTTAAATATTTTTTATATGAAAAATAAAATAATAGGACATTTTTTATATTTAAACAAAATTGTGTAAAAAAATTAAACATGTTAATAGATATTTTTGTTAGTAATAATATATGTTTATGAGATTAAAGAGAGAGAGAAAAAGTTAAAATTGAAGAGAAAAAGTGTGAAATAAATATTAAATTAATTGTCGTCATCTTTTATCAATTAGATGTCTCCAAAATTTAAGTTGCAATTAAATTCTTTAAAAGAACAGTAATTTTGATTTAAGTCACTTAAAAATATATTTGCTTTCATAAATTACAGTTTTAAAATAAAGAAAGTTAGACATTAAATTTACGAAATATTATTTTTAATGAATAAATAATAAATAAATAAAATACACAATACGTATTAATAAAGATGAACGCAACGCTTAAAACAATTTCATTCAACAGTGAATATTAAAAATTATAATATGATGTAAAAATAAATTTTGAATCTATTAACTTGAATTTTAAAAGTACTTTTCAAAATCATAAGAGATTTATCTTTATATGCTTTTTAGTTAACTTTTCAAATTTTTGTACTTCTAGTTGAAATAATATTGTTTAGCATTTTCATTAATTTGAGTAAAATTTGTATTGTTTTTCTCGCTATGTAAATCAAAAATATCATGAAGGTGAATTTGAAAATGATTTTTTAAAAAAAATTTGGGAAAACTCTAGTATAAATCATAATTTCTCAATTCCAAGAACATCACAATAAAATCTTGAGAGGAAAAATATAATTTTACAAGATATGGCTACAATCATATTAAGTGATTTTAACACCCTAAACACTTATGGACTAAGGCCGTCAATAAAGTTTCCTACCTTCAAAAAAAAATTTATCTAGGAAAACTCCATATGAATTTGAAAGAACAGAAAACCCAACATATCATATTTTCATCCTTTGGAAGTTAATGCTTCGTTTTAAACACTAAAGATAGTTTAGGAAAGTTTGACTCAAAGAGAAACGAGAGTATCATGTCTGGCTACTCTGAAACCTCAAAAGTGTTTAGATTATATAACTCTAGAACATCTAAGGTGCAATAAGTCATTCATGTAAAATTTAACTAAAATGAATCTGACAATAAAATGTTTGAGCTAGACGATGCATTTGTTGACATGCGGATTAGTGACAAAGCGTCTAATGTGAAGAGTGAATCAAAGGTGTACCGTCCGGTCCTCCCCATTCATGAACCAAACGTCCACCCGGGTCGAACACCGAGACCGATCGTCCAAGTTAACGCTTCCCGACCACACATGGACCGAGTGACCCTCCAAGGTCGGCCATTCATGAACCGAACGTCCACCCGGGTCGAACACCGAGACCGAGCGTCCAAGTTAACGCTGCCCGACCACACATGGACCGAGTGACCCTCCAAGGTCGGCCATTCATGAACCGAACGTCCACCCATATGGGCAATCAGGACCGAGCGTCCAGTGTGACCGGACAGCAGAACCAGATGGCCGCCCACCCAGGTTGACATCCCTGGCCGACCATCCTTCCCAACCGACCCGCACTTGGTCGACTACACGGTTAAACGCTAATGACTCATTAAAGCCCTTAACGAAGATTAAGGTATGATTGGGCCGTTATCAGGCCCACGAAAGGTAAAAGCCCATTACAATCAGTATAAATAAAGGTTCCAGGTATGAGTTCTTGACAGATTGCTTACAATGCAATATATACATGCATTACAGACCACTTGGTCACGTTACTAACTTAAACGTCGGAGTGCCTTTGACAGGTACACAACCGCCCGGCTTGGAAAGCGAGGAGGGAGAGGACGAATACTACAACCAGGACTTGAAGACGAGAGCCCGTTCGGCCCTTCCAAGCGCGTCCAGCCCTCAGCCAAGAGCAAGTGAAAAGGCGTTCGTCCGATCCGTAGCATGCGATATCATCCGTCCGCCAGTCTTTGTTCGGCCCTTCCCAGCGCGTCCAGCCCTCAGCCAAGAGCAAGTGAAAAGGCGTCCGTCCGATCCGTAGCATGCGATATCATTCGTCCGCCAGTCTTTATCGTTTGTGAGTGTTTTAACAGGGTCCCCCTAGATCCGGTCGAAACAAAAGGAAACATAAGTGTTTAGAAAAGAAGATGAGAAGCTTGACGAGGTAAGAAAGCCTAACAGGTCATATCGTCTAATGATCAAGAATCACCCAACATAGAAGATCATAGATGATACCAAAGAGAACACTAAGACCATTTCATTTTATAGACAAGAACCATCAACTCTCATCTCAAATAGAACCGTCTAATGTCAACGAAACTCTGAAAGACGGCATGGGTCAAAGTCATGCAAGAAGAGCTAGATCAGTTTAAAAAGAATGATGTGTGGAAGCTCGTCGAGCTACCTCAAGGGCTTGTTGCCAAAGGCTACTCCCAACAGAAAGGTATTGATTATACATAATTTTAATCGTTTGTTGCGTTTAACAAAATTAAGTTATTTCAAATGGATAATAAAAGTGCATTCCTAAACGATGAAGTCAAAGAGGAAGTCTATATGGAACAACCTCCAAGTTTTATGTGTTCTACTAATCCTAAACATGTTTTTAAACTAATAAAGTGTTGTATGGTTTAAAACAAGCTCCTTGAGCTTGGTACAAATGCTTGAGTTCTTTTCTAACCCTAAATGGTTTTTCAAGAGGAAAAGTAGAAACTACATTGTTTTAGAAAAAGCTTAACGATGATTTCATCATTGTCCAAATTTACATTGATGATATTATATTTGGTGTTACTAATGAATGTCTTTTGCCAAGATTTTTCTAAGATAATGCACGATGAATTTGAAATGAGCATGACAGATGAAATTAAGTTCTTTCGAGGATTACAAATCAAGCAAAATCCAGACGCTATTTACATACATAAGATGAAGTATGTAAAAGAGCTTTTTAAAAGCATTAAGTTGGAAGAAACAAAGGAGATGAAGACTTTTATGCATCCAACGACTAGCTTGGGGTTATACGAAATCTCTGAAAAAGTGGAGATCACTATTTATCACAAAATGATAGGCTCGCTCTTGTACCTTACAACGACTACACCTAACATTATGTTTAGCGTTTGCCTCTGTGTAAGATTTCAAGAAGATCCTAGAGAATCCCATCTAATTGCTGTTAAACGAATTTTTCATTATCTTATTGGAATACTAATATTGGTCTATGCTTCAAAGGAAGAGAAAATTTCATCTTGTCAGGATATTGTGATGTTGATTATGCTAGAGACAAGATTGAAAGAAAAAGCAAGAGTGGAGAATGCCACTTCATAAAATGAAGCCTAGTCTCCTAGGTAAGTAAGAAACAAGGAACCTGTTAAGACTNATTGTAGTGAGTGGCACACAAGAAATGAACGAATGGGAAATTCTTAAGTTTTTTTTTTAAGTTGCTTTAAGTTTGATTTTTCATATATTTAAAAATTATAATAAATACTTTAATATTATTTTTTAAATTTAATTAATTTATCACGGCGTTTGGAATTATTCTCTGTCCTTAAATATAAAATTCTAAAACTAATTAATTCACTTTTACTAAAAGAAATTGGTTAATTTAGTAGCGGTTTTGCAATAGTGGTAAATAATTTCTAAAATTGTCCTCGAATAATTCATGTATGAAGAAAAATCATAGTAGTAGTATTTTTTTAATTTAAATATTTTTTATATGAAAAATAAAATAATAGGACATTTTTTATATTTAAACAAAATTGTGTAAAAAAATTAAACATGTTAATAGATATTTTTGTTAGTAATAATATATGTTTATGAGATTAAAGAGAGAGAGAAAAAGTTAAAATTGAAGAGAAAAAGTGTGAAATAAATATTAAATTAATTGTCGTCATCTTTTATCAATTAGATGTCTCCAAAATTTAAGTTGCAATTAAATTCTTTAAAAGAACAGTAATTTTGATTTAAGTCACTTAAAAATATATTTGCTTTCATAAATTACAGTTTTAAAATAAAGAAAGTTAGACATTAAATTTACGAAATATTATTTTTAATGAATAAATAATAAATAAATAAAATACACAATACGTATTAATAAAGATGAACGCAACGCTTAAAACAATTTCATTCAACAGTGAATATTAAAAATTATAATATGATGTAAAAATAAATTTTGAATCTATTAACTTGAATTTTAAAAGTACTTTTCAAAATCATAAGAGATTTATCTTTATATGCTTTTTAGTTAACTTTTCAAATTTTTGTACTTCTAGTTGAAATAATATTGTTTAGCATTTTCATTAATTTGAGTAAAATTTGTATTGTTTTTCTCGCTATGTAAATCAAAAATATCATGAAGGTGAATTTGAAAATGATTTTTTAAAAAAAATTTGGGAAAACTCTAGTATAAATCATAATTTCTCAATTCCAAGAACATCACAATAAAATCTTGAGAGGAAAAATATAATTTTACAAGATATGGCTACAATCATATTAAGTGATTTTAACACCCTAAACACTTATGGACTAAGGCCGTCAATAAAGTTTCCTACCTTCAAAAAAAAATTTATCTAGGAAAACTCCATATGAATTTGAAAGAACAGAAAACCCAACATATCATATTTTCATCCTTTGGAAGTTAATGCTTCGTTTTAAACACTAAAGATAGTTTAGGAAAGTTTGACTCAAAGAGAAACGAGAGTATCATGTCTGGCTACTCTGAAACCTCAAAAGTGTTTAGAT